CAGCAAGCTTCTGGGGATCCATACGAAAACCTTTAGCGGAAATCAAATACCCCAAGAACTGGACTTCGGTTTGGTCAAATAGACATTTTTCTAGCTTGCAATAAAGACCATTAGCAAGAAGGGTCTTCAAAACTGTCGTAACATGTCTGTGATGAGTGTGTATATCTGTAGAATATATTAAAATGTCGTCCAAGTATACGATAACAAATGTGTGAATAAAATCTCTTAAGACATCATTAATAAATTCTTGGAATACTGCTGGGGCATTGCAAAGCCCAAATGGCATAACAGTATATTCGTAATGACCGGATCTAGTGTTGAATGCAGTCTTCCATTCGTGATTTTCCTTTATACGTATCAAATTGTATGCACTCCTAAGGTCTAATTTAGTGAACACAGTGGCATGTTTCAGCCTGTCAAATAATTCTGTAATTAAAGGTATAGGGTATGCATTTTTGATAGTGATTTTGTTTAGACCTCTATAATCTATACACGGTCTTAAATCACCTTCTTTTTTCGATACAAAGAAGAACCCTGCTCCAGCTGGAGAAGAGGATCTCCTAATAAACCCCTTTTCTAATGACTCCTTAATATACTCCTCCATGACACGGTTTTCTTGAACCGATAAGGGGTACACCCTGCCCTTTGGAGGTATAGTGCCAGGCAACAAGTCAATAGCGCAATCATAGGGTCTGTGAGGCGGTAATTTCTCAGCCTCCCTTTTATCAAAAACAGTCAAGAGATAAATACTGAGGGGGTATAACCGTAGACAAAGGAGGACTGGTAGGTACCTCAATAGAATTCAAAGGTGTGACTTCCAACGTACAAGACTTGTGGCAGGCCTCACTCCATGATTTTATTTGCCCTGTCTCCCAGTCAAAAATGGGATTGTGAGCACGTAACCATGGATACCCTAATACTAACTGAAGAGGGAGAGGTGATGACCTGGAATCGAATGGTTTCATAGTGTAAAACCCCTGTGTACATGTGTAATGGTACAGTCTCATGAGTGACAACTGGAGAACTTAATGGTCTACCATCTATGGCCTCAACGGCCAAGGGTATCTCCTTCTCTCTGATGGGAATGTTGTTTCTCTTTATAAAGCCAGAGTCTATAAAATTTTCAGCTGCCCCAGAGTCAACCAGAGCATATATGTTGTCAACTATACAAATCTCTCCCATATATAAAGAAACCGGGAGAAGCAAGCGGTTAGGAGGCAATTTAGGAGACTTAGATATCACACCCAAGGCCAGTCCCCTATAAGGTCTTAGGTGCGAGAGTTTTCCGGGAGTAAAGGACATTCCTTTACCATATGGTCTCTCCTACCACAGTATAGGCAGAGTCCCTCCCTTCTCCTATGTAATTTCTCAGTATCAGAGAGTTTGGCAACCCCTAATTGCATAGGTTCCTCCTCAGACACTTTAACACTCTCTGGTATATTAACTCTGGGGTTAATGGGTGTAACAAAACGTCTATTCCTGTTCTTGGTATAGAGCCTGTCACGAATTCTATTATCTATATCAATGAGGTAATCGATAAGGTCCTCTAAGGCAATAGGAAGCTCCTTAGCTGCTACCTCATCCAATATCGTATCTGACAAACCTTCCATAAAGGCAGTAGTTAACCCATTGTTGGTCCAATCTACCTGCGAAGCAAGAGTGCGAAACTGAATAGCATAATCAGCCACAGACCTAGAACCCTGTTTAATTCTCATTAATGCTCTCGCGGCATTCTTTGACCTTTTCATTGTGTCAAAAGTTCTACGAAAAGCCGTAAGAAAACTGTTGAAATCATGCACCATAGGTCCATTAGCTTCCCAAATAGGATTTGCCCACTCAAGTGCCTTATCGGTGAGTTGGTGCATAAAGAACCCAACCTTAGACCTCTCTGTGGGAAATGAACGTGGAAGTGGATTTCAAGTGGAATTCAATTTGATTAATAAACCCTCTGCAAGTCTTAGAGTCCCCTCCATACCTAGGAGGAGGTGTTAAATGGGCCGAAGTATTAGGCAAAGTAGATACTTCAGGGAGAAGGGGCGTAGGAGGGTTAGGTGTGGTTGCTGGAACGGTTCTAGCTAGGAGCGTCTGGAGAGCCTGAGCTATCTGATCCATACGGTGATCCTGCTCTACAAATCTTGCCTCATGGGACGCCATCTGTTGAGCTAAATCTGCGGGGTCCATGGCCCTATCGTAATGTAACGAGAATATACCCCTACACGCAGGATCCAGCTAAACAGAGGCAGATACAGAGGAGAGATACGTCTACCGGACCTTAGAATGGCCGGACTCGACGTATATGAGAGGAGACAGAGCCAGGAACAAACCGAGGTCAAGGGCACAGAGAGACAGCGTAAACTAGGACAAGCCGGGGTCTGGTACACGGAAAACAGCAAGCCGGCAAACAGTACAGATAAGGATAAAGCGAAAACGAAGTCAGAATACGAAGCCAAAGTCAATACGAGAGAACACAACTGAACACCACAAGCGCTAAAGGGAACTGGAACAGAAACTCACGATAGGGCAACGAGCTAAGGGAAAAAGGTAAGTTAAATAGCTTTTAAACCAAAGTGATTGGCTCCTGTCACTTCCACACCCCCTATAGGTAATTGTACAGGGAGTGTGGTATGACAGGAGCCAATGGGAGCCTTTTGGCAATTAGGCTCCCACTGTCTCTTTAAGAGCGCGCCCGAGACTCGCGGCGCGCTCTTAGTTTCAGGCGGGACACGTGACCGCTTCACGCGGTCACTGCCCGCCTTCCATCTGAAGCAGTCGGATGAGCCGCGCGCGGCTCGTGCAGCCGCAGGACCGCGCGCGGCTTGAAGAGAGGACCGCGACCGGCCCCCGGTTAAGGTAAGTAACGCTACAATATAGGAGCTCATGGGAGAAGGATCTCCTTACACAAATTAGCCAAGATACGTGGCGGAAAGCTCTGGGCAGGTTGAAGAAAATCACATACAGCCTGGCCCACAGAGAGGCGTTTTGTAAAATACACGCCTAGGGCATATTTACCCTACTGCGTCCCCCATGTGCTGGAGATGCCATAACGAAGGCACACTACTTCATATATTTTGGACATGCCCGAAAATAGGCGAATTCTGGGACGCAGTAGAACAGTTCCTCTTAGAAGAGATGAAAATAATGCCGAAATCCCCAGAATGCTACCTACTTCACATATTCCCCCATTCACCCAGGGAGGACGAACTACACATACTCACTCACTGTCTACTTGCGGCCAAAATAGCAATAGCATACAGATGGAAACAACAGCAAAGCCCAAAATTAACAGAAGTCCTAACACGCCTCGACACAACATGCAACTTTGAACAAATGGCCAGCCGCCTTCGAAGCAAAGAACATATCTATACCAGGCACTGGCAACGCTGGGCCCAGTTTAGAGACCAACCAGAGAGCTAGAGAGTAACCCTAGTACCCCTTTAGGACCTCGGTAGACCTACACCATATCGCAGTTGCCCATGTTCACCTACACAACCTCACTCTATCCTCAGTCTATCCATAAGGGCAGGAGTCAACTCTAAAAAACAGGCCAGATGAAGAGGCAGCTAGCACCCTAGGTACATAGACGGTAAATAAATAAAATACCCCATGGAAGAAATTAGACTGGGGATCTATCACACTATGCTGATGAACCGTACTAGCTAAGTTTCGGGTACTTTGTTTTGTTTAACTTTGGTTCTTTAGTCCAGCAGATACACCCCCACCTAACAGATTGACACAGGTAGCACGTGTCAATATGGAACAAAAAACTTTCCAAATCCTAATCCACCACGATCTAGGCCCCATCGAAGGGTTCCCATAACTACCCTACACTGCCCATCTCCTACGCTAATATACATGCAATATTTGTATCTCATATGTGCATTTTGTACTTCGAATTCTGTACTTCGAATTTGAAATGTAATATTTGACCTGCGTTCTATATATTACCCACTTCCCCTCCCCTTTTTGTTTTCTCTTCCCCCCCCCCCGTCCACCTTGTGTTTTTCTGATCTGATGATTATGAAAAGAAAATGAAAAAACAAACTCAATAAAAACTTAAGACATTGAAAAAAAAAATACCACATCAAGGAGCTTATCCTAATACACACACCGTAACAAGCAAGACCCACATGAAGATTTTCCTACAGTATGTATTATGGCGAACCTTTCAGCAGCAACCCTAGTGTGCAGGAGGGATTTTCAAGTGATCACGTCGGAACTTAGGAAAAAGGGAATACGCTACAGATGGGGCTTCCCCACGAAACTCCTCAAGCGAAATGTAGAAACAAAATCCATCTCTACCCCGGAAGAAGGCATGCGGAAAATGGCGGAATGAGGCTTAACCACTAAAGTGTTGGAAGAAGCTTGCCCCACACCAGGACAAGGCCATTTTTTTGTGGACTGACCACGAGAACTGATTGCCATGACGCACAAATTGCCGCAAGTACGTTACCCCTTGCACAGGTATAAAATGTTGACACTAGGTCACTGTTTAAATGACCCTTAGATTAGATGCTGAATACTACACCTGAATTACCACAGCTATGCAAGTTATAAGATGTTTATGATGTAGACTGATTGTTCATATTAGAACCAAATTGTGTAACTGCCATAGCCCGTAGCCCCTGCCCTGACACCTCAGGCATCATATTTATCCACAACTAACAGGGGGAGTCAGGGCTGGGAGGACATGGCACACATACCATTACTCACTATGACGGCGCAACTCCGTCCCGTGACTGGACTATGGAGGCTGTAGTTAGACTGGGGAATTGTCATCCTGGGGTATAGGGGGGAACGACATGCCCCAATGGTAAAAAGACTGATAAAAATGGATCGCGGTAGCTGCCACACTAACACCCAGGACTGGGGAAAACAACTAACAGACACAGTAAGGGGAGAGTAAGAGGGACTAACAGACAATCTATAAGAATACAACTAAAGTGCACATGAATTAAAAGACACCCGGTAGGCCAGAACACCACCCAGGGCAAGAGGGGCAACGACAACCATAATTGAGTCATATAGCCCAAACGCTGATCCCCATCCACCTTGTGGGGACGCTTTTACAGCCTGATCACTAAGGAATGACACGGACCCACTATGGCCCGGGTGCCCCACGCTACAAAGCATAACTATTCATATCACACACAACTCATGAGCTCACCACACTAAACACAGCCCTTCATTAAAACCACACAAACTGGTACACAACTATGGTTAACACCATCAAAGCATACAACCCAAACATGTACCCACACAAGGTGAATAGATATTTGTACTACTATTGATTAACAGAAAGTATCCAATACTGAATTGTATAGCAAATCCCTGTTTATATCTGAATGTTCTTAACCCATGTTACTGTTATCAACTAACATTGTTCTGCTTACAATATGACATAGAATGCAGCCCAAACAGCCACTTGTTTGGAAGTTCTCTTTTTCTCAGTTCCATCCTCCGAGGTGCAAACTGCACCAGACCAAGAGGTCACTCACCCGTCACCTAAACAACCCCAAACCCTACCTACCTTCCTGACCACCCCACCGATCCTACAGGAGCATCACAAGCCTCCCATCATAACAACAACACAAATTTAAAACTCCACTATCCGACAGCATGCATCGGACAAGTGAAACTGTACTTGCACAATGTTAAGGGGCTGAATACCCGACATAAGAGGAGGGTACTGCTAGATGACCTAAAGTGAATTAAAGCAGACAGTCTTCATCCAAGAAACGCATTTAGTTTCTAACCGAACCCCCATATTTGCTACATGGGATTACCCCCTTCAATACCATGTCACACACACACACACACACACACACACACACACACCCCTCTAAATCCAGGGGAGGTCTCCTTCCTATTCCACACCTCAATGACAGTATAACCACTCCGAATTAAAAAAAGATTAACAATAACCCTTTCATACTGGTTGAAATATATAGCCCAAAGGAAAACCAACACAATTTTCTACACAGGGTCCTCAGTAAACTGCCCGCAGACACTAAAGCCCCCGTACTAATTTACAGGGACTTCAATCACACTATAGATTCCCGACTGGACTCGACAACTCAAGCTTAAACAAAGCACTTGTAAAACTGATGCACACCCAGGGCCTGTACAATGTATGGAGAACACTACACTCAGTGACAAGGGAGTCCACATTCCACAAAACCCTCTCCAGAATCGACCATATACTAACCTCAGGGACACTCCTCCCACAGAATCACAGAATGCACCATAGGAAACATTGTGTGGTCGGACCACGCACCCTTAACGATGACCATGCACGACCACTATCAACACCGAAGTAGACCCCCATGGCGCATGAATGACACACTACTAAACGATACTGGCTACATGAAGCAACAAACTCAAAACGCTAAAAGAATACTTTGAGCTCAACGATACCCCGGAGGTCTCCGCCACCACACTCTGGCAGGCTCATAAAAACAGTTATGAGAGGCAAGCTACTCAGCCACGCATCATATCTCAAAAAAAAAAAAAACAACGTGACAAAGAACACAGACCTCTTTAGGAAACTTAGAGACGCTACAAACGCGCAATTTTTGCACCTCTCTGAGTTACTGGCCAAAGAAATTGCAGACACACAAATCAATAACATCACCCTAAACAAGACAGCCCATATACTAACCAAATTGAAAATGAAAACATATGCTCAAGGCAACAAAGCCAGAAAACATCTAGCAACATTATTAAAACAAAAACAAGCCAACTCCAAAATCCCATATCTACTCACCCGAGCAGGGGACAAAATCCACAACCCCGGAGATAACGAGATGGCAGACTTATCACACGCTATACAACTTAAAACGTGATCCTAACCTACACCAACCCACAGAACAAGAAATAGCTGATTTCCTTAGAAAGACTACACTGCCCATATTGTCAGCAGCCATACAGGACCCCATCACGATACAAGAAATACTAGACAGACTGACCAACCTACAAAAAATTTGCATCAATACTAGCCCCGTACCTACAGAGACTATATACCCACACCCTAAGCATTAGAGCCATGCACAAGGAGATGCTGATGGCGCATGTTGCCATGCTTCCCAAACCGGGAAAGCCAAACAGAAGCCAAAACCTACGACCCATATCTCTGCTGAATACAGATGTCAAGCTCATAGCCAAAATCTTCTCCAACAGACTGGCACCTATCATACCAACACTCATTAAGGATGATCAAGTGGGGTTTGTAGGTGGTAGACAATGGGCAGATGGTACACGAAAGATCCTAAACTTGCTCTATGGGATGAAAGAGAGGAAGGCCCCAAGCATCCGGTTATCCTTGGATGCGGAAAAGTCCTTTGATAGGCTGAACTGGCCCTTTCTGTCAGCAGTTCTTCGAAAATTTGAATTTCCACCCTAGTTTCTGGCCCTCGTTGAGGCACTCTACTCATCCCCAACTGCAAAAGTATTGAACGGGGGATTTATTTCTAAACCGTTCTCAATCTCTAATGGCTCCAGACAGGGGTGCCCGTTCTCCCCCACTGCTCTACATACTGGCGCTGGATCCCCTGACCCAACAAATAAGGGAAGACCCAAATATTCATGGAGTCCAAGCCAATGGACAAGAATACAAACTTTCGCTGTTTGCGGATGCTATCCTTCTAACTCTAGAGCAACCACACATATTCCTCCCGAATTTTCATAAAATTCTCACCCAATATAGCCAATGCTCATATTACAAACTGAATATCACAAAAACCCTAGCCCTGGGCATTAACGTCCCTGCACAAGACATGCAACACTTAAAAGCCAACTTCACCTACGATTGGAGGCAAGACAATATAACATTTTTTAGGGGTAAACTTCACAATCACGCCCTCCAGACTATATAAAGCAAACTACGAGGTGAAATCCAAAATATCATACAAAGTTGGAAGGGGAAATTTATCTCATGGGCAGGACGAATAGCCTCAATAAAAAAGGTGATCCTACCAAAAATTAAATATCTATTCCGAACACTCCCACTCAAACTACCGAAGACATACATACAAAACCTACAAACCCTCCTAAACTACTATGTATGGGAAAACAAAAAACCACGAGTAGCGAAAGACACCATGCACCGACAATTCAATAATGGCGGAATGGGAATGCCAGATGTCAAAAGGATACTACAGTGCAGCTCACATTGTCCCACTACTAGCAATTCCCCACCATTGCGAACACAGCTCATGGCTTACATTAGAAACAAGTTACACAGATGGAGTACCCCTATCAACACTAGCATGGACACCGAAATCCCAAACATCAAAATACGCTCTTATGCTACCCACAACTGCTTTAACCCTCTCCATATGGGATGATTACAGGACGAAGATGGGCAAACCAAACTCAATATCCCCAGCACTCCCACTGGAATCAATAAAATTCTACATATCAGACTTCAACTACAAAATCTGTCAGAGACATGGCATACGAACACTGTCGCAAATAATGCAAGGACCCAAACTAAAACAATGCTCAGACCTTAAACAGGGGTTCGCACTACCAACGACAGCCACCTTCTCCTATATGCAACTACAATCATGGTTTGCCCTCCAGAAAAACAAAACAAAAAACCAAACAAACAAAACCACATACATCCACAACGATATCTAACCCAACCTGGAAGGCAGTAGAGCAGATTAGCATAGCTGCTAAACCAGCCAGGAAACTCATCTCCATGATTTATGCCTCAGAACACAACCGACCCCCCAAAACCCCTCCCTTATTTATATCAGCATGGGAAAAAGATATAGGCCACCAATTATCTGAGGCCCAGTTGCGAGACATCTTTAAAGCACACAAAACACTAACCCTATGCACCCCAGAGGTACTTAGCATACCACATCATTACTGCAGCCCTCACAGTCATTACCAGACTATGAAAAACCTCCCCCACCCCCCCATCACACAATGTATCACTGTCGTAGACACAAGTCAGAGGTATGAACTCATGGCAAGAACCATACGACAAACAAACCCATACAGGACTGAGGCATGGGGAGAACAGGGACAAGCACAAACCCACACAAACATAAACTAGAGGAACTACGACACATGCTCTTACATGTACCTTACCCTCCCAGAATGGAGGCAACCATACCCCAACCCTCAAAACGACAAGGGCGGTCAGGCAAACTGTCAATATACACTCCCACAGGGGAAAGACTCAACTCCCCCTGCCACCTAGATTGCACACCAAAACAACATAAACCACCACAGATGACAGACCTACGAGCGCACCTTATTATACATATTAATGTTTCTTAAAAGTTAGGCACAATGTGACTAATGTACAGAACCTAATGTGGATAAAAAAAAACACTCGAAATACTGTCGATGAAAAGATTGTGTACTGTTTCCTAACATACAACTTTGATGTTTTAAGATTGGACCCCCTCCTGCTTCTCTTCTGTACCTTCACCCTCAAACTATACTTCAATAAAGTCAAAAATATTCAAATTCCCCCCCAAAAAACAAACAAAAAACCTTGCCTTGTGATGACTGAAAGAGTTAATTTTGGGAAACAATGTAAAAGAGAGCTTGGAGGGGCTTTTATTTGTGTAATTCAAAGTGTTCTCTTTGAGGGGATGGGGAGGCTTTAAATTACCCTGTAGCGGATGGCCATAAGCTGTCCTGGGACTTGTATTATTTTTACCCTGTATTCGTCTATTTGCTAATGTCTATGCAGTAATGTAATCTATTCGTCTGATTGTTCGGTAGAATCATTCTAACAAATAAGGGAATGAAACTACCTAACAATCAGACCTCCCCGGTGTGAAGTGTGCCTTCAATTACCCGTTGCAACATTGTTGCGAACGGGTAATTGACAAACTGTATAGCAATCCTTTGTTCTCGGGGGTGGCCGCCATTCGGGAAACGAACACGTGGCGGCGACCATTTTAAACTCGCGAACAGCGGTGTTTTGCCGTCGAGTGTCTGGAACTCAAAACAGACACTCGACTAGGCGAACACCGCTGAGACCTCCATCAGCCCGGTCCGTTCGGTTCCAAACTACCGAACAGCCCCTCGTTCGGTAGGCATAATCAACCGAACAAGGGGATTCAAGCGAACCCTCCCCAACCTCTATAGCTGGAGGCTTTCGGGTACTTTATTCTCCTTTTCCAGGACCGACCGCAGGGCCCCTTCGCATGGAGCCCAATTCGGCTAGTTCCAGTGCGAACTGTCATTTTATTCCCTCCATGAAATTCCCGAACCCCTGGTCTGATCTGGATGATTTTTGGATATGTTGTTCACCCAGATCAGAGCTACCAGGGGATGCATAATTTAAAGTGGTACCCCTAGGTTTAGGGGTATATCCAGAAATGGGGGGGGGAATTGCTGTACTGGATAAGGGGATTATGATGCCAGCTGAAGGGAGGAGATGTGTGGGAGGTTACCAGGACAGGATTGGCTATTGTGATAATGAATAATCCCTCCCTTGCATGGGAGCATGCTTTAAAAGGCCACTGTGGAATAAAGCTGTCAGTTCTGCTCCTGATACTGTGTGTCGTCCAGTTATTGGGAGTGCTGTTGGGATACTATTGGATTATTTTACCTGCTGGATACTTTGCCTATGGATTTGTAACTTCTGTTCCTGAGCCTCACTGGGATCTACAAGTGGAGGTAGGCTATGCAATACTAGCTCTCCGCTACATACCCTGATCAGCCTTTCTGCACTACACAGCTCATTGTGAGCCTGGCAGGTTGAGGTGCTGTCCGTACAGCACAGTGATAGCAGTGAATGGCACCACAGCGATCACATGTGTTGGAACAGTGAGGTCTGTAGATGCCATGAAGCATCCAGCACAAGCATTGACCATGCGATTTCCAGTATCGCTTTATTCCGTCACGGCTCTTTAAACAAAATGATATTCAATGAATAACGGTTAACCAAACGAAGCAGCATTCACACTATGATAAATATTTCTGATATAAAATTATTTAAGACCTACACAAATGATTTTCACAGATTAATATTTCTTACCTTTATACATTTGCAGAAATGTTCTGGTTTGTGAAACCGGCTTTCTGTAATTACATATTGTTATGGTAGGGGTGTTCCCGATCACAATGCTGTAGGAAATACAACTGTGATTAGATTACTCCTAAGATAACAAACAAACTAAATAGTAGTCTCAGGGAAGCGCTGGTTAAAAAAAAATAAAAAAATAATTCTGCATTTAAACCATTAGGAGAGAGTGTCTGTAAATTAAACTAAACACCCATTTAATTTCCGATTTGATGAGGATATTTAGATTCCCTCCTCTCATGATAATACACTTTAGTAATTTGGGGTCTTTATTGTGTATGGCAAAAATGTTTCGTTACTGACTGATTAGGGGATCCTTTTACAATATTTCTGCAGTGCTCACTTAATCTTATTTTTAAACTTCTTGTGGTCATACCAACATATTGGAGGCCACATGGGCACTCCAACAGATAAATAACATTGTTAGTACTGCAGCTAATAAAATATTTAATATTATACATTTTGTTTGTTCTATTAGATATAAAATGTGTGGTTTGGGATGTTACAGATGGGTACGTGCTTTTACAGACTATGCAGTGTTTGCATTTATAAACTCCTTTAGCTTAAAAAAAGCGTTTCATATTGTTTTAGTAAGTGCCAATGTTTATTCACAATTAATTTTTTATTTATTTATTTTATTTTTTAAATGCGACCACTTATTAAAATAAAAAAATAGGGGGGGGAGGGGCGTGGCTGACTACCGAACAAGATGGCCGCATAAGGACTTGCTCCGGTACTGAGCTCTAACTCACAGGCACCAAAAGGTGCAAAAACCTACGAGAAGACGGGTCCCAAGGTGATGTCTCACCACAAGACAAAGAAAACTGCTTCAAAAGCCCCCCAAAAAATAAAATTGCATTTTTTCGGCACCAAAGGCTCGGCGCCGCAGCTGGCCTCACAGCAAGAGACCCAAGATGGCGACAGGGACTCTAACACAAGCATCCCCGTGGCGGAGCATGCACAGGCCAAACAGATTTAAAAATCTTCCTAGTGCAGGCACTGGACACATTATCCAGCAAATTAATAGCCTGGCAGCAAACTGCAGATGCTCTGAGGAAAGAGATGCAGGATATAGGAACCCGCACATCCCATATGGAGGACAAAATGGGAGACTTTGCCACTGCCCATAGTGACATGGCCGACCTCGTCCAGAACCTGGAGGACAAGGCGGAGCGATTGGAGGCACAGATGGCTGATGCCGAAGACAGGGCACGGAGGAATAATATCCGCCTCAGGGGAGTACCGGAGACTGTTTTAAATGTGGACCTCCAGGCCTACGTACGAGGCTTGTTGCTGGCATATGCACCAGATATCCCGGCAGCCAAATTGCAGATTGACCGGGTACACAATCCCCAAACCCTCATACCTACCGGATTCAACGCCACGAGATGTGCTTTTAAGAGCACATTATTTCCCATGTTCAATAACTGATCCTCAAGGCGAGCCGGAACCGGAGTCAACCGCACAAGGAATATCCCACAGTAAAAATCTACACTGACCTATCTACGCTGAAACGAAGAAGGAATTTTCAACAGGTCACAGAGGCTTTACGACTACACGGTATCAAGTACTGGTGGGGTTACCCGACTAAAATGCTGGTCCAGCACAGCGGAGGAATCAAGCCCATCTTCACCCCGGAGGAGAGTATCAAGCTTCTAAAAGAATTGAACATTCCTATCAAACAGACTGAGGCAACTCCCCACCAGCATAGAAAAGCGGTACAAGACTGGAACAAAGCCCGCAAGAGACTCACCTAACTGCCCTAGGACGCAGTCCGCAAGTATTGCCTACATACCGAAATTGATGCCTATATGTACCCTCACACATATAGTTTAACTATATAAAGCTAAACACA